TAGAGCCAATTAAGAAAAAAAAAAAAGGATGCTATTTTGAGTGGTCCCAGGTACTCAAAAAGAGTCCCCAAGGCAAGGCTTTGCACCCACTCGGAGAGCCTGTGGGACAGATCAAGTCACTATGGCTTTGCTGTGGTCAACAAATGCATCCAATTAAGCAGGACCAGGGAAGGAAGGGCTCGGCTATAAAATTGGCCGGACAGTTTGAAACCAAATAACCTCACTAATAGGGGCTATTGTTCAGCGTGGAAGTTCCCATTTTCCAATCAGGAAAACACAGCCCTCTCTGGGCTCTGCCGCCTGATCCCTTCCCTCCTACCGCTCCACAATCTACCACCAGCGAGAGCTTTTATTGCCTCCCTTCCCAGGAAACGTTAGGCAACTCCCTAGTCAAGCCGCCCGCAAGCGGGAGTGGACGGCAAGGGGCACCCCCTCAGGAACCCACAGGGCCTTTTCATCCGGAAAGAAACTGTCCAGTGAGGTCCGCACCAGGAGACACCCCTAACCTGGCCCGGCCCGCTCCTCTCCGCAGGCGCCGGCGGCGCTGGGCTGGCTCCCTGCCCCTCCTCCCGCTTTACTTAGAAGCCAACGCGTCCGCGCGCGAGGTCCCCGCACAGTGGCCAGGGATTGGGGGTCGTTTCCTTATTTGGGGGGGGGGCGGGGAGGCGCCCGGCAGGGATGCGGGGCAGCACCGCATCCACTCGGTCGGCTCGCCCGTCTGCTTCCAGAGCTTGCGCGTCGGTGCCAACTCTCGGGAAGCCGGCTGCGCGGAGCCCGGCTTACGCGTACCCAGCAGAGGTAGCGCCTATGTAGTTCATGTGCTTCCCCCCTTCCCCCCGCCACACACACACCGATTCATTTATTTTTTCAGTGCTCTGTATGTACCGGACCGGACCACACTTACGTTGAAAACCGTATTTGATGTAAATGTGATGCCGGACACTTGAAAGCCTGGAGAACTTTGATGTTTTCGACTATAAATCCCTAATTGTACTTGAATGGTTGCAAATAGCTTTATTTACTTGTCGCTGTGCCTACACATTTTAATCTATTTAACCCAACAGCAGAGGCATATTTCACTCCCCACTCCCTGAAAAGGAAAAGCAGGGATCGAGGCCTCTAATTTGCTTTAGGACCTTCTATGTCTTTGGCTTCGAAAGCATAAGCCCTTCCAAGTCGCAACATTGACTAGTCTTCAAACCCGCCTGAAACACACACACACACACACACACACACACACACACACACACACACACATTCTCTCTCTCTCTCTCTCTCTCTCTCTCTCTCTCTCTCTCTCTCTCTCTCTCTCTCTCTCTCTCTCTCTCCCTCCCTCCCTCTCTCCTTTTCTGCTCCATCTAAGGAGATGTTGATGTATATTGTAGCTGCAAGGTGTTAGATATACTTGAGCAAGTTGTTCCCGGGATGTAAATTAGGTCCCAAAAGCTGTTGTCCAAATCGAAGAAACAGAGAAATTAATCTGGGAGACTATCCATCATCACCGGTAATAAAGAGAAGGACATGGATGAGACAGATGATATGATTAAGGGGCTGTGGTCGTTTTAATTAACTTTTTGCTGTCCTGTAATGATCAAACTGGTCACCAGACCCGGTCAATAAGCATGTTAATATCAAACAAATAAAACCAGGGATGATTAAAAACCTCCTGGTTTATTAAATTTGAAATTCAAATGAAATTTATGCTGCAGATGCATACAGAATGCTAATAGATTTTAGCTTTATTGGAAGTGGATCCCACAGGTTTGTAAGAAACAGTGGAATAGCCATCTACCCCTCCCTGCCAGCACATTAAACTTCACATGGAGTGGGGGAAACTTTTAATTTGCTAGAAAGCCTGCAGTTACCTTCCTCCCCCTTTCCCGTCCAGACCTCTATAGTATCATGGTATAATACTCAGGAGTAAGGATCAATATCAAAAGGTAAACTGAGTTCTATGCAATGTGAAATGTTTTGCTAGACAGGCTGTATCTACAATGGATTTCAGACGTTCTCCTATGTGGGGGGTGGAGGGGAAGGGTAAAATGATGGAGTCACTTGTGGAACGTAGAGAAAGAGGTACCATTAGACTAGTTTCACTTGAACCAGAAGCAACATTATGGCTGTTTTAATGTTTGGTCAATTATATAATTTTCTTTATCTTTCCTTTTTTACTCTGGCTGTCTTACCTTGTAGGACAAGCACTAACCACTTATTGGGAGGGTAGTCTAAGAAAAAAAAAATGCCCTTTGACCAATACTAGTACTATGAAATAAATACCTACCTTTTAAAATGGGAGTAAGTGGAATAAATATAGTTATATAATCTTCTTATGAAGAAAGATCCACATATAACCCCCTGTGAAAACCTTCCAAATGCAAGCCAACCTTATGTGAATTGAAGAATCCACACATACTTTGTGACCCATTGTCATAGGAAGAATTCATGATTCTAAAGTGAATTTATAGAAATAAGAGACTTAGACGTAGGTATCTCAAAACAGTAATTTTTCAAGAAACAGTGGTTAATGCCTCTGTTTACTCTCAGAATCAGTATTTAACTTTTTGACAGTCCTGCCTCACTTCCTTCCAGAAGATAGGAAGATAAAAAGATTAAATAACTATTCATAAAGGGAGTCTTCCCTCAAAGCCCCCCCTCCCCACCTTGGAGGGTGCCGGTATTGATTAGAATTAAGCCCTAAATTTGAACAACTGTGTATTAGGTCCTTAAAATGAATATCATTATAGAAGAAGACCAAAGCAATGAAGTTAATTCTCTTTTATTTGTTAAGCGGAGTTCCCTCCTTCCCCCACCCCTTCCTCCTTCTGGGCTGGCCTGTCACGCCTTCTCAACACGCTAAAATCATTCAGAGTGGCTTGCAGGGAGAAACACGACATTTATGGTAAGCGTCAGCCTTCAGAGAAAGAAAGCAGTTCATTAATTTACTTCACACTTACTTCAAAGTCGGAGAGTGTACCTTACCCCCTTAATCAATAGATATGATGTACAGTCAATATCCCAACAATGTTGAAAAGGGGTCAGAAACACACACTCTTACACCACAACATCAGCCTCAACTCTGTTCAATGAAACTTACACAAATTACTACCTGACTTTGGATTTCGGTAAACCCCAGGAGGGCTTTTTTCTTTTCTTTTCTTTCCATTTTTTTTTTTTTTTTTACATCTCTAGAAGCTCTGAGTGTTAAAAAAAAATGTTTACCCAGTAAAAACCAAACAATTCTCCCAGCTAGTAACATTTTAATCAATTCTGCTTTAAAATTAGATTTCTGAGAGCATTTATAACTGCTTAGAAATATGAATTACTTAAAAAAAAACACCAAATGAATATTCAATAGGGCGCCAAGGGCTGTGGACTTTTTGCTACACTGGTGTGGTGCTTTCTGTGGTTTAAGATGTTTCCTTGTGGTGGCAGTGAAATTGTAATGACATTTCTGAAGGCAACTAGTAACACAAATGGAAGCAAGTGACTAAAACCCACTGAATTTGAACTGAGTGCACCTATTAACATGCACACGCATTCACAGATATCTGGCCCAAACACTATCAGACACAGACGCCTCCATATATGTGGTCCAAGATTTGTCAAAACCTTGTCTCTATTCTCAGATAAATAAAACCCACACATATCAATCAAAATCCTAATTTTTTCCCTCAGAAAGAGGCAGTGGTGATTTCCTGTGAAGACTCCTAAATTCCACAAAACGCTCCTCAATTTCTCACCCCAAGGAAAAACAATGCTCTCTCGCCCCTTTCTCTACCTAATCCTTTTGTATTGAAATTTACTCATCGCCACGGGACAAACACACCCCGTCCCCTAGAGTGAGACTGGCACTTCCAAAGATGAACCCACCTCGGGAGGGAAAAAAAGGACAAGAAAACCACCGCATCAAAGTAACAACTCCTGGACGCAGGCGCTCACACGCCCTCACTCACCCCTAAAAACATCCCCCAGCCTCCCCACCTTCCACCCTTCCGCTACGGAGTCGGGAAAGGAAGGGTAGGAATCAGTGCGATTTTCTTCAATAGATACAGTGACGGTGTCTAAGAAGTTAAGAAAACGATCGCTCGAGATGTTAGGTACAAGGAACCAGAGGAAGTTGGCGACAGGGATGGCGCTGGTGCGTATTTGTGGACCCAGCCTCCCTCGCTCAACTTCGAAGATGCCTTCTTCAAATCGTCCATCTCTACTCTCTCTTGCGTACGAGCACTTTCCTGCACTGTTCCTGTTCTCCACCCCCGGCTTTACACACGCACACACACACGTTCAAACAGCCTTCCTCTCCCCCACACCCAGCGCGCACACGCATCCACCCTCCCTCCTCTTTCACACACACAGCTTCACACTCCTCCCTCTCCCCCACCAAACACACTCACACCCACCTCCCCTTCCCTCCCTGGGTTTGTCACTCGGGTACCCTAGAGCACACTCACACCTTTCCCCTCACCACTTTATGGATCTGTCCCTCTCCCCTCCCCTCCCCCCCTTGGTCACACGCAGGGATACTGTCACCCACACCCCCACCCCCTTCTCGGCACTGTCCCTCCCCTTCCCGCACCCCTCCTTCACCACTGTTCCACTGCCACACTCACATTCCCTACCCTCCTCCCGGGGCTCACTGCCTCCCAGCTCGGTCACACACGCACACGGCTGCACTGTTACACACTCACACGCCGCCCCCGCGCCCCTCCCGCCGGCCCCCCCCCCCCCCCCCGGGCGGCCGGCGGGCGGGCGGCGGCGCCGATGACCTCACGGCGCGCGCGCGGCGCGGCCCGGCGAGGCTGCAGATTGGCTGGCCGCGCCTTCGCGGCACTTCAAAGCCGGAGAGGGAGCTACAATTGTGGCGGAATGGGCGGAACTGATCATTGTATTGCACACCTCTAAAAAAAACACTGCCTCTGATTTATCAATATAAAAAAGATCCTCTGAGAGGAGGAGGGCACTTTTGTGTGATGGCAACTTCACTTCTAGGGGTGAGTCTCAGGGTTTTCTCTTGCTGGTTTCATTAGTTTCCTTTGATTGCCGATCGGAGGGGGTGGAAGTCGCCCCGGCCAGGCCACGGGCTATCAGTCTCTATTGAGAGTTTTTTCCACCCCCCCCCCCCTTCTTCTTCTTTAAATACAAGTGAGTTTGGAGAAAAGAAAGAGGGGGAGAGGGGGGCAGAGCCACTTTTTTCGGCGCAGGAAAAGGTTCGCAGGGCATTTAGGCGAGCCGCCGCGCCGCGCCCGGTCTCTCCCCGCCCGGGAGACCTGCGCCCTGCCCATTTTACAGGCGACGGTCTCGGGGGTACAGAGAGCGAGCTTTTCCTCCTGGGCAAACTGCAGATTTCCCCTCATCCCCTTAAAAAATCCCGCAGTCCGCCTTGTCTTCCAGGTACGTTGAACCCGTCTCATTTTATTTTTTTTACTATTGTAGATAATTTCTTTTTTTTAAAGAAAATTAAAAGAACAGCGGGAAGAGCAAGTGAGCCAGCCTTCTAGTTTGACCGCTTTGGGCCCGGGAGACACAGCCCAGCAGGGGTTTCTGGGGGCCGGGACGGGATTTTCGAGACTCTTTCTGGATTACACGGGGAGCGCTTTAAAAAGCAATGCGATCGTTCCCCCCGGGCTTCTCGGCGAAGGAAGCTCCTCTCGCCCGAATCTGGACTTTGGCTCGCTTGCTGGTTTCGAAGCGCCCGGGGCCTCGGGGGCACGGGAGTGTCGTTTAGGTGAGCCTCTCTGTCCGACTCTTCTTTAGCATGGCGCTTTGCTCCCGGATCGGACGCCGGCAGCCAAACTTGTCCCCTCCCGTAGAGTAGGAAGCAGCCGGGCGCCGGGGCTGTTGGGGGAGCCAGGTGAGTTGGTGGCGGCGCGCCGCAGCGAGGCACGGGGTGCAGCGGGGCGTTCGGAGGTCTCCCGGAGAGCTGATGCCGCTGTCTTTCCTCCCTCCCCCACCGGCCCTCTGCCCGCCACCCCTCCCCCACGCTCTCCCTCTCCCTCTCCCCCTTCCCGCAGGAAGAACCGCGGTTGGGATCGACTCCTCTGGCCATGCTCGCGGCTACCTGTAACAAGATCGGCAGCCCCAGCCCGTCGCCCTCCTCCCTCTCGGACAGCTCCTCTTCCTTCGGCAAGGGCTTCCACCCCTGGAAACGTTCCTCGTCGTCCTCCTCCGGCAGCTGCAATGTAGTGGGTTCCAGCCTCTCGAGCTTCGGCGTGTCGGGGGCCTCCCGGAACGGCGGCTCGTCCTCGGCCGCGGCGGCGGCGGCGGCAGCGGCGGCGGCGGCCGCGGCCCTGGTGTCCGACTCGTTCAGCTGCGGCGGCTCGCCGGGCTCCAGCGCCTTCTCCCTGACCTCCAGCAGCGCCGCCGCCGCCGCCGCGGCCGCCGCGGCCGCCGCCTCCACCTCGCCCTTCGCCAACGACTACTCGGTTTTCCCAGCCCCGGGCGTCTCCGGGGGCAGCGGCGGCGGGGGCGGCGGCGGCGGCGGCGGCTCCTCGGCGCACTCGCAGGACGGCTCCCACCAGCCCGTGTTCATCTCCAAGGTGCACACCTCGGTGGACGGGCTGCAGGGCATCTACCCGCGCGTGGGCATGGCGCACCCTTACGAGTCGTGGTTCAAGCCCTCGCACCCGGGCCTGGGCGCCGCCGGCGACGTGGGCTCGGCCGGCGCCTCCAGCTGGTGGGACGTGGGCGCGGGCTGGATCGACGTGCAGAACCCGAACGGCGCGGCGGCCTTGCCTGGCTCGCTGCACCCGGCCGCCGGGGGGCTCCAAACCTCGCTGCATTCGCCCCTCGGGGGCTACAACTCGGATTACTCGGGCCTGAGCCACTCCGCCTTCAGCAGCGGCGCCTCCTCGCACCTGCTCAGCCCCGCCGGGCAGCACCTCATGGACGGCTTCAAGCCGGTGCTGCCCGGCTCCTACCCGGACTCGGCCCCGTCGCCGCTGGCCGGCGCGGGGGGCTCCATGCTGAGCGCGGGGCCGTCGGCGCCGCTCGGGGGCTCCCCCCGCTCCTCCGCCCGCCGCTACTCGGGCCGCGCCACCTGCGACTGCCCCAACTGCCAGGAGGCGGAGCGGCTGGGCCCGGCGGGGGCGAGCCTGCGGCGCAAGGGCCTGCACAGCTGCCACATCCCGGGCTGCGGCAAGGTGTACGGCAAGACGTCGCACCTCAAGGCGCACCTGCGCTGGCACACGGGCGAGCGGCCCTTCGTGTGCAACTGGCTCTTCTGCGGCAAGCGCTTCACGCGCTCCGACGAGCTGCAGCGGCACCTGCGGACCCACACGGGCGAGAAGCGCTTCGCCTGCCCCGTCTGCAACAAGCGCTTCATGCGCAGCGACCACCTCAGCAAGCACGTGAAGACGCACAGCGGCGGCGGCGGCTCCGCGGGCTCCGGCAGCGGCGGCAAGAAGGGCAGCGACACCGACAGCGAGCACAGCGCCGCGGGCAGCCCGCCCTGCCACTCCCCGGAGCTGCTGCAGCCCCCCGAGCCCGGGCACCGCAACGGCCTGGAGTGACGCGCACCCCGCGCTTGTCCCTCCCCTTGACCTCCTCCCACCCCACTCCGCCTGGTCCCCGTCTGTCCCGGCCTCCGCTCCAACCTCTCTGTCCCTCTAGTCTAACTCCCTCTGGGACCTAACTCTGTAAAGGGCATGTGGACATGTAAGTAACACGCATTGCCGGCCGGGGGCCCTGGCTTTCCCTCTCCACCCGGTGACACCGTCGGAGGCCCGCACAGCCCGAACGCGCGCCTCGCGGGCCTTCATCCTCGTCCTCCCTTTGTCCCCCTCCCTCCCTCCATCCCTCCATCCCTCCATCCCATTGTGTGAAGGGCCTTCTGGAGGGAAGCGGCCCTGGATGGAGAGCTGAACGATTCCAAGGGCCTGGGAGACAGGCCTGCGCCGGGGCCGGAGCAATTCGGTGGAACCAGGTTGAGCTCGGGCTGGGAAGGGCGAGGCAGGAGGCCCGCGCGGGGCATCCCCGCCGGGGCGGCCGCGGACTCGGCGCCGAACGCCCGAACGCCCGCCCTGCGCCGCGCGGTGCGAGCTCTGTGCGGGCGCCCTTCTGTCCGCGCCGAGATGCGGAGTTTGCGGAGTTCAGCGTCCCACCTTCAGTTCTGCCCCAGCTTCAGCTCTGCCCCTTTTTCTTTGTTCCCTGAGTTGGAACCGATGCAACTTTCAACTAAGGGCAGTCTTGGTGAATCCTACAGCAGCCTTCTTTCATCCCTACAACATTTTAAAACTAAAAACCTAAAGGAAAAAAAAAAAGGCATCCCTTCACTTGGTTTCCCGCCTAGATAGCTTTTCCTCTAGCAGTGAGCAAGTCTTTCTCTCAAAACTGTGCTAATACTGATCCCAAAGTTATTTTGATCGAATTAATTTAACTTATGGGGTGGGGGTGGGGTGAGGGTAGGTGTCTTTCTTATGCAAAAATACCCCTTTCCGGTTAGAACAGATTCTCTATCTCCATGTTTGTCCTTTTCTACCTCGTTTTTCTCCACCCCCGAGCCTAATCCCCCCCCCTTTTTTTTTTGCTAGTCCAGACATCAATTTGTATAGAACTCATATCTGTAAATCCTTGCAATCCATTGGAAACTTTTTTGTGTGATTTAAACTTATCAACAAGTGAAGAAGCTATCGTTGATATCAGACGAGGCTGTAGTTTAAATTTAAATGCCAAAAGAGGGAAAGTAGGGGGAGGGGAAACACCTTTGTAAAATATATCTGAACCTAATGGTTTGTACCACAGGAGAATCGTTCTAGATTAGTTACCAATTAACTATAACCCCACCAGCGTATGGGTGCGAGGTGCAGCTGTCCAGGAGACTATTTTGTATAGTATTTTTCTTGTACATTACTTGCAGTAAATATTTGAAAATATATCGAAGTAAACTTGATTTTTTTGGTTACAAGAAAATATTAAGAGTTATTGTTGCAGTTCTGAAGACTGCAGGTTTTTTGAACTCACTTCTGGAGGTGCAGAGCCACAAACGCACTTTCAGGGCCTAGTGTTGCTCGAATATTAATTTAGATAGCTATCAAACTGTAAGACAATATTTGATAAATGTGGGGTGACATTTAATTTAATGGAGCATGTACTTATTTGCATTTGCTGGCAGTTCAGGTATAGTTAAAGTGAGAGTTCTCCTATATTTCATAACTGGGTTTGCCAAAACCCATGTATTAAATAAATTGTCCAAGTGAAACTCAACTAAGTTTGGCCTTTGTGTATTTCCTGAAGGTAATATTGTTAACTGTTAACAAACACTCCTGACACTACATTTAAATGTTTGCAAATTCTGCAAACTAATTGCTCATTGTAATGTTGAAATAATTTGGATATTTCACATTGAAATGAAAAGCCTTTCTCTAGAACATTTTAGACTTGCATTTTAAATGCATGAGATGTAATTGATTTATTTGTAATATTTTAAATGGTATTAATAAACTCAGATAAAAGACTAGGCCAGTTAATTTGTATTTTTTCCTGTTTAAACTATGGACATTTGCATTTTGTTTTCAGTTAAATGTCTATTTAAACAAAATATAATCCTGTTTTGTGGTAATATTTAAATAATCGCCTTTAATATTACTTAGAATGATTTATTTGGCAAAACTGTTTTCTCTATTTACCAAGATGAAGATTATAGTGTCTAAGAAATGTAATTAATTATTTACCAGTAGATTTAGCTCAAAGCATCAGGATTTACTGACCTCTTAAAATTTGGACTAATTCAACAAACAATTCAAAGAAATTTCCCGTTTTTGCTTCCTTCTCACCCTCCAGAAGGACTCAGGTTGATCGCATTTGGTATTTAAAAGGGCAAGACTTACACTGGAAGATCAATACATCTAAAATAAAAACATGGGTTCGGGGATAACTTCTGTTGTTAGTGGGTGGAGGAGGTCAAGCTAACAAAAGCTTGTTTTTGGCATTCCATGTCTTAGCTAAAGATTATGTAGAGGTAAATATCAGTAGTAGATTCCTGCTGAAATGAGTTATCTGTTCTTTTAAAGTCTCTAAACAGCCACCAAAGAAAAGGAAGGTTAAACCTTAATCTATTTACTAGGCTATTGTTCACAGGTGTCAATGATGCCAATAAAAAATTGTCTTGTTATGTCTAAGTGCATTTAAGCAATGAGTTCCTTGAGCCATACTTTGAAACATAAAAAAATTACTTTAAATGTTGATTGTTATTATATCAAACTATTTCACTATTAGAGTAATATTATTTTGAATCAAATTGAATAAAAAGTTAGTGTGTTCAGATTCTTTTCAGTTTAGCTTCTTTCTTTCCGTTTGCATTCCCCTCACCCCAAGTTCAGTCTTGGTGTATGTCTCAAACTGAAAACCTTCCACTGAAAGGTATATTAAGTCCTTATTACCCATATAAACAAGTGGAAATACAGAGTGCTATGAATATTGTAAATTTAGAAGGAACAAATCAATGAGGGGTAAAATATTTTAGGACAGTGCAGTTTGGGCTTCAGTAGCAGACTGTCTTGATCCTGCTGTTTTGCAAATATTTGTGATCTTCAATCCCTATGGTTTTAGGAAAGCAAGCTGCTCTGATTCTTTGGTTTTAAGTAAAATAGTCTCTTTCTGTCACTTTCTTCCTAGGAATAACATGCAGAACACAATTTAAGTGTTGTTTCTTTTTTATTGAAAGTTGCAGTGCTGAGGAGGAAACGGTTCTGAAGGAGTTAAATGTAGTGGCAGGTAAGGAAAGCTGCTTGGTGCATTTATAATATCAGTTGCATTACATACAGATCACATTTGATTTAAGAGGTGGATGATGGCAAAGATATTGTCTCTAGAAGATGATTTCTTGGGGGTGGTTGATGGGGGACGGATTTTTCTGTAGTGTAAATGGAAAACTTTCACTTTCTTCCGCTCCTCCTTTCCCTTCTAGTGTTGGTGTATTTTGTTGTGATGACTACTGAACAGTATTTCTGGATTGCTGTTCTGCAGGGTGGGCTGGGTTCCCTTTTGGGGATGGATGGTGGGTGAATGCAAAATTGTGAATTCTCCCTGCCTTGTCGGTGATAAAGCACCTCTAACAGTGCCTTGGAGGCTCACTCAAATGAAACCAAATGCTGGGTTTCACTTTGAACCAAGGGACAAGCTTCCAGTCTTTCAGATCAAGGTAGAGTTAAACTACTTGTTGACCCAGAGGTCAGGCCAGCGTATGTCAGTCCAGTCTCAATCCAGCCTTTCTGTTGACCTGTCTCATTTCTTCCCCAAACTTCAGTGTTTCTTCCTCATTCTGCTTTCTCCTTTTCTGGCTCAACTTCTTTGAGGATGTTCTCTTTCCCTTTGGGACATACATGACTGTGATTTGTTGAGGCTGGACTATCAAGGAAAATATTTTATGGTAGAAATTAAATTTAAGCAAATGTGATGAGTTACTTACTCTCCTATTATCAACTGCTCTTTGAAAAAGTTCCTGGATGGATTTGCTTTTCTTCCACTGTCCTCTTACTCCAATCTTGGTATAACTTCTCAACTGAGTTTCCCTGATGGAGAGACTGCTGAAATTAAGAATTAAAGACAAGCAGGTGATGAGACGGGACTCCTGAGTGGGCAGATTGATAATCCTGCCATCAAAATTTTCAGCCCTCCTCAGATCTTTTGGTGAGATTCTCAAATGCAATGTTACAGCAGGCCTGTAGAGGAATTTCTTTAAAGTAAATATTTTATTTTAGAGGACTAGCTAAAGGGTCTGATGATCCTTTAGGTTGGTAAATTAAGGTAGGGACTTTAGAAGAAAGAAGTATGGATTTGATTTTTCTCCTCTCACCTAAAATGGTAGAGGTAAATATTATAATGAAAGAAGTTCTGCATTTTTGCTCAATTTTTCATACAAATAGCCTCAAAGGGGGGTTGATTTGGTGCAGGTAATTTGGGGGAAAAAAGGTTTTATTTTCCTGCTGAGTTTTTCTTGCTTCTATCCAAACGGGCATTATCATTTAAGAAAAATTTAGGTATGATCAAGTCTCTTTTTAAAAACATGATTTCTACAGTTGTCTGCTCTTCTAAAAAAAAATAGCCCAGTAGTTAATTCTATCACTGCATTGAAAGAAAATCATGTTAAGAAGCAAAAGGCGTGAAGGGTAGACGAAAGCTTTGCTCGGTTTTAAGTTAGGACTGTTGTTCTGGGTGGCATCTTTTGAAGACGTTGCTCCATACACAATTGATGCTGTTGTTGAAAAAAAATAAGATTCAGAATGTGCTTGTGTCCTATTTATTCCCTGTTTCCGGATTAAAGGGGAGCCGGTAATTCCTCGCTCTCCTGGGCTCCGGCTGCCGCTTAAGGTGATGCGCGCCAGTGGGCATCGCTGTAGGTTCGCTGCACTCCCTGTGCACACAAGTGTTGATTTGCTCTAGTCGGGGGGGAGGGGGATCTATTTTCTCTGGTCCCTGGGCGCGTGTTTAATTTAATTTAATTTTCTGCGGAGACTCCTGGCGGCGAGGAAGCAGCCATCTACATTTTGCTGCGGCTCCTAACGACGGCCGGGCTTTAAGAGCTCTGGGGACCGCGGGGAGCGTGGGGGTGACTGAAAAAGCAGGACTCAAGCGCCGGCTCCAAGCTGCCGCTTTCCACTGCGGTTCCAAGGCCGTTCTTTTGAGTCCTTTTCCTGGGGCTTCTTTTAAGCCCCCCACTCCCTAACTTTGCTTCTCAGGCCAGCACTCCTGCCGCGCAGCGGGGACAGCGGCGGCGCCCTCTGCTTCTCTAGCGGGGCTCCTAGCTGAGGTCTGTCTGCACTGCCCAAAGTTCCCTCATTTTCCTTGTCAGTGAATTCAGGGGGAGCTTTTGAGCCCAGGAGAGCTCCCAGCCTTTCAAAACGCTGCCTCTTCTTTTCTCCTTTTCCCGCCCCGCTCCTCGACGTGCCCAGCAGGCTGCTCCCAGAAGGACCCCCGAGGCCCCCGGGAAGGGCTCCGAGTAGGCGACGCGCACTGTCCGCGCACCCGCCCGCCCCGGTTTGCAGAGAAGTGCGGGGTAGCGGTCTGGGGTCTTCGCGGTCCACCTTGTGCTGCCGGGGCCAGCTTCCTGCGCACACAAAGGCGCCGCGGACAGCGAGCGCCACCCTGTGCCCCGCGCCTGCTCTGCAGCCTGCTTCCCCAGCCTCTGGCCCCGCGCGATCCCACCCTGGGGATCCCTGCAGGGGGCCTCCTGGGGCGGGACTGGGGTGGAGGATTCCCTTCTCTTCCCTTCCCAGGTTCTCCAAATCCCCAGCATCTGCCGCTGCCCTCGGCCATCCTGTGAGCGCCTGGACCTGCGGCCGCCCTCTCACCCTGTCAGGGTGCCACGCCCCACGTTGCATCTTGCTGGTGTAGACTGGCCAAGGTTGTTCTTCCCAAATTTGTTTGGGCTGAGTGACCACTGCCTGCCCTCCCTAACTTCCTGTCCAAACGGCGGAGTTCCCTGGCGTCTGCCTTACCCTCTCGCAAGGCCTCCAACGAAGTGCTGCGTCCTCCATCGGTGGGAAGTTTTATTGTCATTTTATTATGGGTTTGCCAGACTCGAAGGGACTTGCACACCTTTTCCTGCGCTGTTATTGTAAAGGAAGCGAAATTAAGGATGATTGGCTGTGGAAAATCTTTGCCCTTTTTTGATTTTGGGAATCAAAGAACACTCTAGCCACCTCGGAGCATTTTATAACTGTAGCTGTATGATCACTGTACCTGTTGAATAGAACTCAACTTTTCTTTACCACGTTGTACCGAAACCCCCATAACCTCTCTTAGGAAGCCTCCCTCTTCTCCCTCCTTGCCTCGGGACCCTGTGGGAAGCTGGGCATATGGGGGGTGCTAGCAGCATTGTCCAGGCCCTATGTTCTGGTGACAATCTGAGGAGAGGTGGATCAACTCCGTCTGAAATAAGTGCCATATTCCCTTTAAAGGTTCCCTTTAGAGCTCAGGAAGGAAGGTGAGGAAGAAGCTAGCTCCTGTGAAGCTCTCTCTGGTGCCTGTCTCAGGCGCCTCTAGGAGGTAGGCCCTCTGGTAGAGGCAGCTCATCGTGCAGGGTGGATCTATGGTCCCACTTGTACTTCGAGGTGTGCTAAAGATTAAACTCGGCACTTATCATGGCAGTGCCTGCACCAGCTGTATGCATTTAAGGCACCCTGTGATGAGCAGGAGCATAAACATCTTCAACACCTGTGTCCAGTGTGTTCTGAGTTGCACACCTGCGTCTGCCATGGCTCCAGCTATGGCTGGCCTGTGGCTAAGTCCACAGACTCCCCTGCCTGGTATCCCCGTAGCGGGGAAGTCAGGGGGATGACCTATCTGGTCTGCAGTGAGGGCCTCCAATGGGAAGCCTCTAAAGCTGCTCATAGAAGCACGAAGGCCTCCAGGAGCTCCTGAGCCACCAGCGCCCTCCTCCCTCAATTCTGCTGGTGACTGGAGCCCTGCCCCCACCCCTCTCCCCAGGTCCGGAAGGCCGGGGAGCGCTGGAATGCCTGTTTTCTCACCCTGTTGGGCCTAGGTGTTGCAAACCACTGGAGGACAAAGTTTCCCCGCTTTGATCTTCTGTCCCAGTCATTCTTTAGCACAGAAGGGTGAGTTTAAATTAAATTTCTTTCTCTGCTGATAAGTTCTAATGGGCCTCCGAAGGTGAATAATTATGCAGTAACATTTCATGGGTTGTTGGAGTGGGAATTCCCACTGCGCCATCAGTAGGAACAGAATTTCCTGGTCGCTCAATGCTAAATGAAGCTTCCCATGTAAGCTACAAGTGTCTTTCAGATCTCGGTGCCGATGAGCTAGTCCTTCCCTGCTCTCATCTTTCTTGACCCCTCAAAGCAGTTTAGCGTCACTTTTTTCATTTAAGTTTTATTTGTGTTTTGAAATACTTTAAAAATCTCTACTAAAGAACCTTGTTTGAGGGCAAAACAACATTTGCTCTGGTGCTTAAGTATGCATTCCTATCCGGACAAAGTACACATTGATGAAAGCTGGGGCCCTGTTTTCCCGGAAAAAAAAAAGACATTTCCTGGGATTTGCCTCCAAATACCTGGACTTAGCCTTGCCACCTCTCTTCACTTATTTTGGTGAATTACTCCTCTTGCTTGATTCCTGAGTAAAAGGGTCAAGACCTAAAGCTGCAGCGATCAGTGTTCAG